ATCCAAATGAAAGATTAGAATATTGTAAAGGCCACATTGAAGATTATAAACCACAAATTCATTGTAATGTGAGAGAGGAGAGATTTGATTTTGGAAGGAATACTGCAATGACAAGTCCAGGAGATTCTTTGGGACAAAATGAAGAGGATGAGGTATTAGATTTAAGGCCTCCAAAAAAGAAAGACCGAAATAATGAGAGCAGAGCGAATGGGTTGCAGACCCTGAATATGAAGGTTCACTACATATGGAAGTTGATGAAATTGAGGATGAGCCTCACATATAGAAGTGGAGCAGGAGGACAGTAATGACATGTGCTGGATTCCATTAGTAAGTAACGCTCATGCATATCTCCCACAGGATTGGGATGGACATTTGTCCTCCCCTGCGCTTGAACACATGCAAATCCATCGTACCTCACCGTCATAACCCCAGATCCAATGGATACACTACTTATAGATGACCAGGGGATTCCTTACACACTCACCCCAGATGGACAGAAAGTCCACAAATTGATAATATACAAGACGCTGAACAAACAGCTCTAAACCCAAGGCAAGCTGAAGACAAGCCCTCTTCCTTTGCTGATGTAGAGGATATTGCAGACTCAACACTGCAGACACAACCCAATTCACTGTGTCCAAATATGTCTCTTGGTCATGTCTCAGTGAAAGCCTCACAAGTTGCCCCAAACCTTAAGCCAATATCTTCAGTAGCTCTTGATAAACCCTCCATCATACCTGCTGTGTCTGACTTGGCATCAGTTCCAATTCAGATTTTGGCTAATACTACAGGGTCAAACACTCCCATTCTTCTTCTTCCTCCATCTCAGCTTCAGTCGCTTTCCTCATCAGCCTCTAAGGCTAGCCCAGGGCTAATTACCCTTTCCTTACCGATTCCTCATAGTCAGAACACTCAGTCCTCCCCCATGTTCCTAGTTTTGTCACCTCCGGTGTCCTCTACTCCTAGTTCATCCTCTCCTGGTCAGTTATCTCAGATTTCCCCCTCTTCCACTGTTTCCTCAGCTACTTGTCCACTTGATTTGGGATCTACATTAAGTTCATGTCCATCACTTCTTAGCCTCGGCACGGTTTCATCTGCCACAGCTACAGACATCTCAGGATTGAATAACCCCTCTAATGTTCCTGCTAGCCCTACCTCATCAACTGCTTCCTCTAGCACTTCCACAGTGACCTCTACAAGTCCAACCAAGCAGTTCAGCTCCGATGCCTACTCCGACACACCAGTGCCCACTTCCTTTCGGGAGGCTCTTCTCAGATTGGCTGTGTCAGTGGAGAAGAAACAAGAAAACAAGCCTGAGGTTCATTCGGTCACTATTCCATCCCTATGTTCCGAAGCAACCAAGTCGGATTCCTCTTCCACAGTACATGGGAGTAAAAGCCACGAGACGGAGATAAACTGTGATGGTGACACTGAGTCTACCTCAGTAGACCAAGCAGACGCATTAGATACCATCTCTTCCACATCACCCCTTCCTCCCATATCACCCGTAAATCCCACCAATCACCCAAAGGACCAAGACCCACAAGCATTAGGCCCACGTCGCATTCTTTACTGTCAGTACTGTCCGCGGGTCTTCTACTATCTTTCAGACCTTGAACGCCATTCCATCACACACTCCCAAAGCAAACCCCACGTGTGTCATCTTTGTGGCAAGGCGTTCAAAAGATCAAGCCATCTTGAGCGACATAAACACATCCATACAGGTCAGAGAAACTTTGTGTGCCAGCTTTGCCCGAGGCGTTTTCGTGAATCAGGGGAGCTAATGAGACACCAGAGAGTACACACCGGTGAGAAACCTTTTCAGTGCTTGATATGCCACATGCGTTTTGCAGAGCGCAACACACTGCGACGTCACACAAAGCGCAAGCACCAAGGCCAGCATCTGGAGGCGATGGGCATGAAGGTGAAGCCAGAAAGTGGAGAAATTTCCCTCACTGGTGTACAAGGAGAGTCAGAAGAGAATGCTGAGTGGTACAGTTCAACAGTTCCTGAAATGGAGTCTGACAGTGACACCGGGGGAGATTGAACTACATGAGGGCATGAAAAAACTGATTTTCTTTTTTTTTTTTCTCACAAAATTTCAAGACAAGCATAGTTGTAAAAACGTTTATTGATATAACAATTCTTTACTTCTCACAAGACTAATATAATTGTCTATAGTTCATTCCATTAACTCTTGAGACCTTTACTGGTGATGACTGAATCCTGCAATATTCACTTCAGATTCATTCTAATAAGCTTTAGTTATTGAGATTGACCACTTGATAAAAAAAAATTGTTTCAATTATTCATCTCGAATAATTTTGAATCACCATTATTTGATACTTATTGTTCTCATTTCAGTTTTTTCAGTTCATGTACAGCTTTCAAGGCAATGATGTAGTTATTGTAAAAGACTACGGTACTTAGTTTCAATATTTATAATTTTATATTATGATATATTGAAATAATGACACAGAGACAAGAAATTGCCTAGATCAGCACATCTCTAAATCATGTTGTGTCCACAAAACTCTGCAGATATCCACAGAATTGGACCATACATCATTCTCAAAGTTCTCATCATCTTCCACTCCTTTCACGTTCACTTATGGCTAATTTGATCATGCTTTTCCTGCTTTTAGCTACTGCAAACTATGCTTTGGTTTTCTTGTCTTTCAAACTTGTTCAATGCAAGTGCATTGTGGCTGCTTTGTGATTCTCCACCTGACCTGCAGGGGACAGTATGGTGTTGTGTTTTCTTTATACTCTTTCAAACTTGAGATTTACAAATGCGGGGATCTTCTGACCTGGCACTGTTGTCACTTACACATTTGTCTTTTGTTGGTTGGCATCTTTTGTTGGCATTTTGTTTATTGTTGGCAATTTTTATTGGAATTTTCTGTCATCTTCTTTGACTTAAATTAACAGCCCAACTATGAGAGTTGCTACCAAGAAGACTAATGACTGCAGTCAATTGGGAGAGGGTGTATTTTTTTATTTTTTTATTTTTTTATATATATATAATTGACTATGGAAAAGTAAAGCATGCACCTGGTTACAGAGTTTAGTACTCCTTTAAAACATTCTATCATGCTTTCTTTAAAATCAATTTTATTCTGTATATTTCTACAGACCCCCCCCCCCCCATTTTTAATTTTCAGATATTATGCATTATGAAACATTTTGCTCTCTGTTCATTTCGGTTTCTCCCTTTTGCTTTTTTTTTTCCAGAACAGAGAATTTTTGGTCACCTTAGTATTTTTCTTTTGAATGATCTGCATTGTTCATTTTTAATATTGAACATCAACTTTTTGGTTTATAAACTCTTTTTCCTCTTCAGGGAAACAGGCTGTTTCATTTTATTAGCGTGAAATATATATATATTTTTCATCTGGACAAAGAAGGTTTTACTTCTCATAATAGGTTGTCAGACATTTGTTACAAATTGTTGGAGAAAGTTTTAATTTGAAGTTCATCTGCACATGTTCTTTTTGATATGTAATTTAATTTATTTGAGACAAGATTTCAACTTTGAGTTGCAGTTTTAAACTTTAAACTTTGATTAGCTGAATGTCTAACTTATTAGTTTTTTTTTTTTAAATAAGTTTTAAAAAAATGTTTTATAAGTTCTCTGTTTGATAAGTTGAAAAAAAAAAAGGTTTAACCCCTGCCGATTAATTTATGTTTATGTAATTCGACGTGTTAATAACCAAACATCATGCATGGACTGCAGACATTGGGCTAATCTAAAATTCTGTTGCTTAAATCTCATATTTGATTAAGAATCGGAATATTTGTGCACGCTAATTAAAGCTCGTCAAGCCCTTTTCTTTTGCAGTGGTTCCCATGCTTAATTAACTTTGCTCTAGGCACGTTTGACATGTTATGCTTTAGACATATTCTGCATGCTGTGGAAGCAGCTGCTGAACAATATCACTAAATTTGCTTTGCACAGTTGTTTACATATTACTTCATTCATATATATTCAGATTGATTTAGTTTTTATTGAGCACATTTCACAATATGCATTTAAAAAATGCTTGGTTCCTTTTTGCAATGCTAAGATGAATGCTCAGAGTGTGCTTAACGAAGAACAATCATGCACCAATGAGAACTATTTATTTATGGTGAAAATGTATTTAAAATGGTGTGTTATGTCACAGAACACTTATATATTTAATACACAATTTAAAAATAAGACTGCAGATATTTAAACAGCCTAATTTCTGTAACCTGTGTCAGGATTTTGAATAAAATGAATCAAATTGAAATGCCAATGAGAAGTTATCCATCTTTTTCAGACAAAATTATTATTATTATTTCATTTTGCATTAAAGGAGTAGTTCACTTTTAAAAAAACATTTGCTGATAATTTACTCGCCCCCCATGTCAACCAAGATTTCCATGCCAATCTTTCTTCAGTCGAAAAGAAATTAAGGTTTTTGATGAAAACATTCCAGGATTTTTTTCCATATAATGGACTTCAATGGGAACCAAACGGTTCAAGGTCCAAAAGACCGTTTCAGTGCAAACTGTTAAAAGGGCTTTAAACGATTCCAGATGATGAATAAGGGTCTTATCAAGCGAAACGATTGAAAAAAAACAGCAACAAAGTTTAAGTTTTATAAGCTCAAATGGGCGCCTTGCTCTGTTCTGCGATGCATGTTCTTGACTCTCCTGTTCAAACTCGTTTATCAAAATGAATGAATCTTTTTCCGTGTCATTAAGTTCATTCAACGAATGCAAATGAACGAGTTGACTCTGGAAAAGATTCGTTCATTGTGATGAACGAGTTGGAACAGGCGAGTCACGAATGTGCATCGCAGAACAGAGTAAGGCGACCATTTGAGCTTATAAAACTTAAACTTTTTTTTAAAATGAGCGATTGTTTCGCTTGATAAGACCCTTATTCATCGTCTGGAATCATTTAAAGCCCTTTGAACAGTTTGCAGTTTGCACTGAATCTGTCTTTTGGACCTTGAATCGTTTGGTTCCCATTGAAGTCCATTATATGGAGAAAATCCCTGAATGTTTTCATCAAAAACCTTAATTTCTTTTCGACTGAAGAAATAAACACATGGACATCTTGGATGACATCGGGGTGAGTAAATTATCAGCAAAAGTTTTTTTTTTTTTTTAAAGTGAACTACTCCTTTAAAATGAAAAGTGCCATTCCATTGTGTGTTATAGACTATATGATACATAGACTTTGTAATTTATTCATTCAGTGAATGGATGAAATGCATAGTACTGGTTCATATAACTCAGGTTTAAAGTGTTTATGAATGTACTTCACCTCCTTTAACCTTACAAGCTGTGCTAGACTGGAGTGTCTGTGTGCGTGTGAGTGACAGCTTAGATGTTCTCAGAGGGCCTGTGTTCAATTTGGCAGCATCAAGGAGAGACGCTCCCACAATCAAGCTGACAGCAGGCGTCTATGAGTGTCGAGTATGAATGCGTGCGTTTGTGTGTAAGAGCAAGAAAGAGAGAAACCGTAAAAAATGTTGTTGACTTTTTCAGCAAGACTATGTGCTTGTTACATTGATGGTTGTTAGCTACCTTGAATTATCAGGCAGTATAAATAATTTCCAGATAATAGTGAAGCGACAGGATTTTAGACAAAATGGCACATGTTTTTGTGGCAAGGAGAGGCTTGTTACTATGAAATGCTTAGGGAAGAGTGTTATTTTAAATATGCTGGGCATTGATGTTTTCTGAGATGTAGATGTTGAGGCACAAGGGAGATCTGCAATGGAAATGCTAGCATAGCAGTGGTGAAGAAGATTGGATGAGCGGTGTGAATGACATGGTGGAGATGGAGATGATTCGAGGTTCAAGCACAAAGTCTTATGGAACTTGTTATTGAGGAAGCTGGATGAGGAGTGCAAGTATTTTTTTGGGGATCGGAAAGCGTAATAATGTACAGAACATATTCTAGATCAAGGATGCTGTTGCATATTTATGCCACCAGAGGTCAAACTCACTCCAAGTTATGCATGGCCACATCAACCTGAAGCCATGTGACTAGCCTGGCAACATTTGAAGTTATCAGTCTTCTTTCAGTGGTTCTCAATAGCTGAGTCGTGACTCATAAAGGGTTTATGCAAATTATTTAAAGCAATAACTATATCATCTAGAACATGTTACCTTTTTAAAGGCGAATGTGAATACAATATTTGACCAACGTTTAAACCCTATTCATCTTATGTCATTCCTGCTTACATTTGAACGATACACAATTCTGGTACCGTGCAAGTGTAAAAACTGGTTCCTAAAGTGACGCAACTGAAAACCACTGGCCGATTTACACTGCTTTTGATCAATTACTAAAAAAGCAGACAATTTTTGTTGCTGTGTTACATGTAATATTTCTTTGCAGATATTAGTAATTTAAAGGAGTTGTTCACTTTAAAAAAAAAATTCTGCTGATAATTTACTCACCCCCATGTCATCCAAGATGTCCATGTCATTCTTTCTTCAGTCGAAAAGAAATTAAGGTTTTTGATGATAAACTTTCCAGGATTATTCTCCATATAATGGACTTCAATGGGAACCAAACGGTTCAAGGTCCAAAAGACAGTTTCTGTGCAAACTGTTCAAAGCGCTTTAAACGATTCCAGACAATGAATAAGGGTCTTATCTAGCGAAACGCTTATTTTAAAAAAAAAGTTTTATAAGCTAAAATGGTCGCCTTGCTCTGTTCTGTGTGACTTTCCTGTTCGAACTCGTTTATCAAAATGAACGAATCTTTTTTCATGTCATTTGGTTCATTCAATGAACAAAATGAACGAGTTGACTTGGGAAAAGATTTGTTCTTGTTGATGAATGAGTTCGAACAGGAGAGTCACGAACGCGCATCACAGAACAGAGCAAGGCGACCATTTGAGCTTATAAAACTTAAACTTTGTTTGTTTTGTTTTTTTAAAATGAGTGATCGTTTCACTTGATAAGACCCTTATTCATCGTCTGGAATCGTTTACAGCCCTTTGAACAGTTTGCAGTTTGCACTGAACTGTCTTTAGGACCTCAAACCGTTTGGTTCCCATTGAAGTCCATTATATGGAGAAAAATTCTGGAATGTTTTAATCAAAAACCTTAATTTCTTTTCGACTGAAGAAAGAATGCCATGGATATCTTGGAGGATGGGGTGAGTAAATTATCAGCAAAAGGTTTTTTTTTAAAGTGAACTACTCCTTTAATGATAATTGTTTTGACACGATTAGCAATTCCAACCCTATCCTATTTTCTGCAGGTCTGAATTGCAGAAGATGCCTGGAGAATGACATGAGATGAAATAGAGGTTGCCACCTTGTGTGCAGAGGTATTTGTCATTTTTGTCAATGGTATGAATAGAATGTGTTGTTTCAGTTAAACTGCTCCTCCTGTGACACAATATGAAACAAGCTAATTGAGGTGAGCTAGAGGGATGAAAGAAAGACAAAGATGGACAGTAACAGGTTCTAATCACAGAGGGATTCCCGAAAGGGGGGCTCGGGGGGTTGATGGAAGGAAGCGTGATTACATCACTTTTCCCCCTATAGTACATCACGGCATAAATTGCATGTGCGTCACACAACAAAGCGGCCAAGTTTTTTCCAATTCTATCATTCACAACCTTCATGCTCATAATGGTTCGTGTGGTTATATTCAGTGTCAAGGTTGAGACACTAATGTCTCTTATTAAATTGGCTAATATTGGCTTTACCAGCTGCTCGATGCTGTTATGAACAGGTTGTCTTCTGTCTGTCTCACACAAATTGTTGTGCACTCAACTTGTAACTCTTGTTTTGGACTTTCTGCCTTTTTTTTCCTCGCTCTTGTATCTCTCTTTCTCTCACTCACTGGCTGTCTGTGACCTGCTGATACAGCAGCACACACCAACCTGTCCGTCAAAGTCACCAAACAGGTGGTGCAGTAATGATCTCCCTTTCCCAACCCCCTCCTCTTCCCCTGGCCCCGTCTCTCACTCATAGACAAACATATTTGCATGTTTGTGGATTAAAATTGAACCTCTTGGCGAATGTGATGTTTTACATTCTAAGTATCTTTATATTTATACGTACATAACTTTTGATGGAGCAAATTCATCATTTAGAGTGTATTAAAACTTGATAGTTCACTCAAAAATGTTAATTCTGTCATTATTTCCTCACCCTGATGTTGTTGTTTGAATAACATTGGGGTCCAAACAACATTGGACCACATTGACGACTGAATAGACATTTTTCTAAATATTATCCAAAAATTAGAAGACAGAAAATCATACAGGTTTGGAACAACATGAGAGTGAGTAAATAATGATAAAATTGCCATTTTGGGTGTGCTATCCCTTTAAGACCTCATGTCTGCATTACTGACATTTTTTTTCATGAATGTATAGGAATATACTTCACAAAGTCAAGCTTCCCAATAAAGTTAAAATAAAAAATGAAAAATTGAAAGCATTGATCATATGCAGCATCATATGTCTGTAGCTTATTATGTGCCGCTGGAAGTCACCAGCTTTTTCAAGCTCCTTTAGGTACCTGTGGGGGAAGGTCTGGCCTTGTCACCCCAGACAGAGAAAGAGGAGATAGGGAACACCGCAAGTTACCCACACATTAGTGTGTCACCTACAATGAATTTATCAGCAAGTGTGGGGAGGGGGGGTCTGTGGGGGCAGTGTCAGGACGTCAGGGTGCTCTTTTGATAGCCCAACACAGTTGGCTCAACTCCTCCGAGTGGGGGTAGAGAGAGAGCGAGAACGGGGTGTGCTGCTGTGTGAATTCTGCGTGAAAGAAAATAGGAAGAAACACAGGGCGCTTTTCTCCCTAGATTCACCTGTGGAAGGGAATGAACAAGCAGACGCGAAAGAAGATAAGGAACAACCTTGTCATTGAGCGTTGCCTCGATTTAACGTGCCTCAAGTTCTGCCCTCATTTTCCACCCCAATCACAAGAATCTCTCTCTCTCTCTCCACTCTAATCTCTGTTCAACTCCACTCTTGACAAAACTCAGGGGAGTTCAGTCTGACTGTGAGTATTCATTTTCATTCATGCTATTGTGTTTATACATTTATTTGTGAATGTATGTGTTTTTTTGTGTGTGTGAAGGAATCTGCGTGTTTATGTCTGACAATATACATTTTTGTGATTTTTATCTAAGGCCAATTAGGGTGCATTCTGATTAACAATAAAGAGATGTACAGTGAAATGTACTTGAACTCCAACTCCAAGGCACATAAATAATAACTAATACATTCTGTAACTCAAGCCTCTGAACATACACTCAGTTTTTTATAGGCTCCAACAAGCCATTTTAGCCTTGGCTATATAGTTGGGCAAAAAAATCCTTCCATTGGAATAGTTTAAAAATATGGTTAATCCAAAAAGTAAAACCTGTTTACTCAACCTCATGAATAACCTCAAACCTTTATAACTTACCTTCTGTGAAACACAGAATAACAAATTTTATTTTGAATGTACTAGTAGCTCTTTTATATGCAAATATAATGTCAATGGGGACAGGAGCTTTTAAAGGATAATACAACCTATTACAAATTTAAACGATGTCATCATTTACTCACCCTCACGTGGTTCCAAACCCAACTTTTGTTCATCTTCAAAGCACAAATAAAGATATTTTAAATGAAACCATAGAAACCTAATTTTTGAAACCATTTTAATGTATACCATCAATACTTTGGCGCTTCAAAAAGCTTTTAAAGGTATTGCAAAAGTAATCCATATGAATCAAGTGGTTTTCAAATATGAACGAAGGTCTTGAGGTTTTGGTACAATATGAGGGTGTTGACCACATTTTCATTTTTAGGTGAACTAACCCTTTAAAGTTTCAAAAAAGGATGAAAAAAAAGCACCATAAAAGTGTTGCATGACTTTTGCACTGTATTCACAAGTCTTTTGAAGCCACATGATTTGTGTGAGGAACGGATAGAAATTGAAGTCGTTATTTCAAACGCATGTTACTGGTTGCGAGCCTGATTTCTGATTTATAAACAAATGATTTAGACTAGTTTTGTGAATCAAATTAACAAATTAATTAAAAAGAAAGAAGAATGATTTGTTTCAGTCTCTACTTCTATTAGAGAACATGCCATTGGACCACAAGTGTAGATGCCAAGAATCTCTTAAAGCTGCAGTCCGTAACTTTTTTGGGTTAAAAGTTATCCGAAATAAATATTTGAGAAAGTCCATAACCAGCCAGTGTTCAAAATTATCTGCTTGCCTTAGCTCGATTCAAAACAGTAAGCTTGTAATAATGTTTTTAATTCCAGTGGTACTGCTGGATTTCCGCAGGAGATTCGAGCGTGTCATTACGTCACATCTGTAGCAGTCTTGGCTAGTAGGCTATATTGCATGTGAGGATGTTTGAGGTGGAGATTTCTAGACTTTTCTCACAGCACTTGATATAATTAAACTTAGCAATTTGATGGCAGATCCAGAAAGGTTCAAACGACAATCACCAGTGACAACAGATTCACCCGCTGTAAAAAACTTTGAGATTGGAAAAAGAGACTGCAACCGTGGCCATTCGAAAACAAGGACAAATATCGGAAGGGCATTAAATGTAGTCACACAATGTTGATGTTGTTAACATTAACAATTTGACAACAAAGTATAATTTGCATGATAAAGACGTGATATGATAAAGGATCATTAGATCTAATCAGTGCGATTTGCTACAATACTTTTTTCCCTTAGTTGGTCTGAAGAACAAAAGTGGATGTTTCTACTAGTTCAGATGACATTTTCCAGTGAAAATTATTATTTTGGTCATACTTCCCAAAAGAATAATCTGTGATTCTGAATGACAGTATCCACATCGGCGTGGTGACTGACAGCCGCACATTCTCCTCAAAACATTGGATTCATCCGCGCTGTGCCCGTGCCGAGGCACAACTCACGTAAAGTTGATAATTCCGCGAATAGCTGCAATTGCAGATTTCGAACAGAGATGGAGACAAAGAGGAAAAACTGTGGACTGCAGCTTTAGATAACAACTTGAAAAACGTTCTGTTTATTACACAAACCTATGGTATGGCTGCAAGACTTGGAACATGGACGTATGAACCACTTTTGATGCTTTTGCTTCCTTTTTGAAGCTTGAAAGCACTAGTGTCTGTTCGTGGCATAGAAAGAAGGAAATATGTTGTGTTTTAAGCAATGCTGTTTACTTTCTCTCTGTGACACTGTAGTTAGCTTCTGATTCCTCTTGTTTCTGTCAGTCGTACACAGACTTTGTAAGTTGTTTGGTTCTGGTGTTTTTCCCATGCCGTTTTGATGGCGACTAAGATAAGTTCAGGCCTCCCATGACTTTGCTTTCTTTCTCTTCAGGGAGAGGAAAGGGCGTAAGAAATCATCTTAAGTATCTGCCCTGCAAGAGGAAGACATATCTTTTAAAGCCCCCACCTCTTCTTCCTCTGCTGTCTCTCAAATATGACCTTGCTGGCATCTGAGAGGTCACTGCTTATCCGCAATAAGTTCCGTTCAGGTAAGAACAAAGGAAGGTTCACACGACTGTATCTAAGCTGGTTTTGAAAGCCCACATGTGTAGCTTTCTGTCTATTTTGGTTGCTGATGTGAGTTCTGATGATGCTCCCAGTGGCTGGTCTGGGGATGGAGTCTGAGTGAAGCTCTTTGCGGCTTTGTGAATATAGCTGGTCTTACAAAGCAGAGGCCTGTTCCATAAAACAATTTTACCAAATAAGCCAGGCTTTTTTTCAGTTAGTCTGACTCATTCTCAGTTGATTTGGTTCCATAAAGCAAATTTAACAGCTCAGACTCAGTCACTCTGCTGAGAAAGTAACCCGGTCCAGGGCAGCCTGTCAGGCTAAGCCTGAGTTGTTGCAGAGTTCATCTGAAGCCTGTGATACACCAAGCTGGCGTCAAAGAACTAGCAGTGTTGAAAGCTGACTGTTGTCTCCTCTCGTCGGCTATGTCTCGGCAAAAATCTGGACTACACCAAAAGGAGGCAACTGTCAACTATTATGTGTTTTGTGCGCCTGTGTGTAAGTTATTATTTATCTGCATTAGCAGCTGTCAATAGTCTATATTCGTCTTTTAAAAAGAGAAACCAAAACCAGGAATGCAGAATTGCAGATATACAAACCACAAACAAAGCAGCGCTTGCTTACCATTTTAAATATCAGTCACGCTTATCACTTTCTTCATTCTAGTCGGCTCATGGTATTATGAAAATATTTGTGCCTTCGAATGCCCAGGTTAGATGGCATAAAATTAAAACAGCTTTCTGACTGTACCGTCTTGACGACTTTGCTCGCTTTCATCACTTTCGCTTGTATTCCTGTGCACTAACTCGTTCGCTAAGCTGAACAGCCAATCAGAGTTCTCTCTCCGACCGAAGCTCAAAAACGGCGTGTCCCGGTCTTAAAGAGATAATCCCCTTTTTTTTTTTTTTTAAATAGGCTCATTTTACAATCTCCCAGAGTTAAACAGTTGGGTTTTTACCATTTTCGAATGTATTCAGCCAATTTTTTTTTTGATATTTCGTCCCCTTGGAATTATAAGGTTCTCTCTGACATTTTTGTCAAAATTGAGTTATTCACATATTCTTATTCTGTGACAATTTATTTACATTATGTGATGTGTTTTGTACATTTAGGGTCCCTGTTATTTTTATGTTTGAAAGAAAATTGTTCCGCATACACATGTTCCTATATGGAATGCAAAAACTTTGAAGCTCAATATCTCAAAACTGTTCAGAACGCAGATAGAACCGTATAATTCCAAGGGGACGATTTAGAAGAATATCAGTAACCAGACAGTTTCTGGTCTCATTGACTTCCATAGTAGTATATATTTTTTTCCTACTATGGAAGTCAATGAGACCAGAAACTGTCTGTTTACTGATATTCTTCTAAATATCAGAAAATCAGCTGAATGGATGTTAAAACTCAACTATTTAATTCTGAGGGACTTGTAAAATGAGCCTATTTCCAAAAAAAGTGGAGTATCCCTTTAACACTGACCTACAGGAGCAAAATGATTTTACCACTGACTCTCTTGCATACCATTATTTGACTTTATTACCCACTATCAGTCGAAAAATAAATATACAGTATTTGTACTAACATTTACAGATGAAGAATATCCCTGGAATGTAAGTTATGCATTAAAAAAGCATTAAACAGCACAAAATATGGTTTGCCATAGTGGATCGACTTGATCAATGATCGACCTTTAGAGCTGCTTAATCAAGCATAACGTGCATATTAAATGATCTTGACGCATTGAACATGGGTCGAATTAGTGAGATTGCATGAACTTAAATGGTCGTTTAGTCCCGAGTAATTTGTTAAATTCAAGTCAGGTTTTGAACTGTAGTCCCCAATTTTCTTGGCACATAAGCCAATAGGCCATCCCCAATAGGCCCCATAAGTTGATGGTGCTTGCTTGAATTAAATTTTCCGAATGAGCTACTCATGCAGCTTTATGTATAATTAAAAACTGTGTTTAATTTATACCTTTTTAAAGCTGTAAACATTTGGACAAGGCAGTCAACCCATCTTTTTTTTTTTAATTTTTAATTCTCAATTCAGTTCAATTCAAACCTGTTGTGCATTCACAATGCATCACATTAGAAAATGTGGAGATTATGGAAATGTTACCAACCAACCCGTTTTCATGAGGTTTCACGGTCTCTCGCACTTCCTCATATTGTACAAATGGGGCCAGCAGTGTGGTCCTCCCTGAAGGACATGTGGACAGTAGACAGATTGTCTTTGTTGGTTCCCATCTGTGGTTGGAACACCTTCAAAAGCAGTGCCCTCTCTTCTTGGGTTCCCTATAAACATCCTGCTGGCAAGATTCTCAGACAAATGTCCAGCAGCACTCTTTGGTATTATCAAGATTCTTCATCAAAAGTGCATTGAATTAACACCTTGTAAACTTAAACAGTTTAGCTAATATCCTAAAAAGGACTGATATTTTTAAGAGGAGGATCACGTGTATAGACAGCAAGGAGAATGCGAAGAACCTTGTCTTACTCTACTGACGCTAGGATCAGCTGTGACCTTGAATATGCTGTGTTGTGTTGTGTTGTGAGAAAGATGGCTGCCCCTTTGGTAAACCCTGAGTCACAGTGTAAACAAAGGGTAAATGTATAAAATACATTTGGTAAACAATGGAAGAACATTTAAGGTTTATAACAAAATTGTGATTTATTTCTCATTGACTAAATTCTAGTCTTAATCCTCCATCAATTAATGAGCAAAAACAAAACTGAAGTAATCTGAACAGAGATTTTCAGCTGATATAGTGTGAGGATGAACATTGGGAAATTTGCCAATATATGAATTTAGTCTGTTTATGAAATTTGTAGATTAATTATTACATAGGCAACACATATGTCTCTTTTTTCATTATTGCTGTACAGGCCACCAGATAGGCTAATAAACATTGAGAATTATCCATGGAGGGAGCTTGTATTATTTTAAATAATGACATTGTTTCACATTTTACATTATCAAAAAAAAAAAAAAAAAAAAAGATTTCAAAGATGAGATAGACTTCTTATTAAAAGTAAATATTAAAGATGTATATTGAAATCTTTCCCTCTGTTGTTTGTTTCTAAACACTGAAGCTTGTTTTTAAAATTAGATTTCATTTGAAATTGTACTTGATTGTTTGTTCCTTTTTTTAATTCTCCACTGCTAATCTGACAGATATCAGTGAAATTGGTGTCCTGGGAAATAACACTGATCTCTGTGGCAGCCTTAGGCTCCAAAAAAAAAAAAAAAAAAGTAATAGCAGCCTTCAGTTTTTTCATATTTCAGGTCTGAGTGAAAAACCCAATGATAACACAATTACCTTATTAAAATAACTACATAACCCCCCCCCCCCCAATAATATTGTTCATGTTGTGAATCTTAAAGACAAGCTGTAAAAATGAAGAGTAAAGACCATTTCAAAGATGTCAGAGATAATGTAAAACAAATGCATAAGGGTACAAAACCTTATCCAAGTGTTTGGATGTCTCAGAGGGCACTTTTGGCTCAATTATCAGGAAGGAGGCTTCATTAAACTGCCCAGATGCTGCCCAGAAAAGGTCAACCGCTAAACTTTCAGCACAAACAAGAAGGATATTTAGAGAAGCCAACAATCAATTTGAAAGAGTTCAGTAGCTGAGAACGGAGTAAAAGTGCACCAGTCAACCACAACAGGAGGGCTGCTTAATGCAGAGAAATACTCCACAGAGGAACAGCTGAAAGATGCTAGGACTTAAACTAGGATGCTTGGGTGGTACATAACGACATATTAATGCTCTCATTCCTGCACACCATGGCTTTAAACAATATCTGTAAATTTCAGGAGGATCAAACACTGATTCACAGATAACGGTTGAAGTTTGTCCCTCAAATGCTTCACTGATGATTTGAGAATGATTTAATCCTAAAACCTGTTTACATTTTTTTTTCTACAGAGGATAGTTCTCTGTGTGAATGTCTCTCTATATGTACGTATGTGTATGTTTATATATATATATATATATATATATATACATGCTGTTCAGAATTATCTGCCCTCTTGGCAAATATGATCACAGATGGCTGTAAAAAATAAACCTGCATTGTTCAGCCTTTGGAGATTGCAAAATGCAAAAATCTAACCTTTTGTTGAAGTAAAAGAATTGAAAGTGGGGGAAAACACATTGGGAACAATTATTTGCCCCCCTTTTATTAAATACTTTTTGCAACCTCATTTTTTTCCGAGATAACAGCTCTGAGTAATCTCCGATAATGCCTGAAGAGTTTGGAGAACCCCTGACAAGAGATCAGAGACCATTCCTCCACAGAATCTCTCCAGATCCTTCAGATTCCCAGATTCATGTAGGCGCTTGTTCTCTTCAGTTCCAACACATTCTCATCCCAAGACGTCATCTAACTGACGCCTTTGACCAAATGTCAACATCCGACGTTTTAGGGCACCCTTTAATGTCAGTTAGATGACGCTATCCTAGGGCGTCATCTAACTGACGCTTTACCCTTAGCATCAGTTTGATGACGCGGGTAGGTTTAGATCTGGGGTAGGGTTAGGGTTAGATAGGGTGCCCTAAAGCGTGGGATGTTGACGTATATATGGTCAAAAGCGTCAGTTAGATGACGTCTTGGGAGCCCACTCCTTTTCTATAGGGTTCAGGTCAGGGACTGGGATGGCCATTGCAAATGCTTGGTTTTGTGCTCAGTGACCCCTTTTTGTTTTGATTTTCAACGCATTCTCACCCCAAGGCGTCACCTTTGACCATGCTTCAAGATTTGACGTTTTAGGCGCCCTTTAGCGTCAGTTACATGACTCGATCCTACGGCGTAATCTAACTGACGCTAAAGGAACGCGGTTAGGTTTAGGTCTGGGGTGGGGGTAGGGTTACATGCGATCCTAGGGCGTCATCTAACTGACACTAAAGGGCGCCTAAAGCGTCAGATATTGAAGCATGGTCAAAATGCTTCCCCTGGCGTCAGATAGGTGACGCCTTGGGGGTGAGAATGGGCTGTGATTTTGATGTTTGTTTTTATATCTTTGTAACAGGCTATCATGTTTAGATTTTGTATCTATTGGTATTTGCCAGAATCTGAAGGTTCTGGGGAGATTCTGTATGGAGGAATGGTCTCTGATCTCTTGTCAGGTGTTCTCCAAACTCATCAGGCATTATAGGAGAAGACTCAGAGTTGTTATCTTGGAAAAAGAAGGTTTCAAAAGGTATTTAATAAAAGGGGGGCAAATAATTGTTCCCAATGTGTTTTGGAGAATGTGACTTCATAATGTGACTTTCCCCCCACTTTCAATTATTTTACTTCAATGAAAGGTTAGATGTTTCCTAATTTTATTAATAAAATATCGAAAGGATTAACAATGCAGATTTTTTTTTTTACAGTCATCTGTGATCATATTTACTAAGGGAGCACATAATTCTGACCAGCACTATATATATTAGAATATGTAACCGAGACCTATTATTTTCTTTCTTCTAAAACAAATTTAACTCTAAACTGTCATTATACAGTGAATTTAGAAAGTGTTTTTTGATATGTATTGATTTTCAGACATATAATATGTCTGCCATTATGTGATCAGAGCCTACCAGTTATCGTCATTACTATAAGTTGCAGTGGCACTCTTCCAACTAATTCCAACTTAATTTGGCCTGATGCCACTCAGAATGTAATTGTCTTCCAGAGTAAAGTAAAAAGGAAGAATTTACTTAGCACGATTGACAGCGAGTGGGGGGGACGAAAGACAGACAGACACAGAGAGAGAGAGAGAGAGAGAGAGAGAGAGAGAGAGAGAGAGAGAGAGAGACAGCTGGATGGGGGATGGGAAAGATACAGAAATAGACACTCAGAGGGATAAATAGTTACCCCTTTCCTCTCACGTCCACTCTCAGATCTCAAAACTCAGCACAGAAGTGCATCATGGGACACGTGACTCCTCCCACCTCTGGCCTAGCTGTAATTCACCTGCTGGTTTCCAGCATGTTTGTTATTGCAGACCTTCTTTAAAGTGCTACAACCAGTGATTGCATGTTTGACTAGCTTAGGGAACAATGTATGTTTGCAATGCCTATATTTTTTATATCAAACTCATTTATGTTCATCCGAGTGGTGCAATTTACTTGTAATATGCTGGGCTCGCTGTCATAAATGGATATGATTCGCAGAGTAACACTGCACATTCCTCAAGGTGGTAAACTCAGGCTTTAAAGTTTTCAAAAACAGAGACTGTATTTTAAATAAAGCATTGTACATATTGTTTGTATTGCATAATTATAAATAAGTGTATTTTTTTCAGTTCTGCAGTTGAGAATACAGAACCGCAGACAGCAGAATGAACTTAATGCAGAGTCTGGTGAGTGTGTGTGTGTGTGTGTTTTTGATCAATGTGCCTGGCCACAGGAAGTCAATGAAATTTCCCGTTATGAGGCAGGACAATCTTAATATATTTGAGTCACACTTTTCAAACTAGCTGGACTGCTGTCTTTATGCATTTCGATTGTAAATTATAGCTTTATAACAGTTATTTTTGTTCATTCTTAATTTCTCTTTGCTCTATAGGTACAAAGGCCTCTGTCTCTGATAACGTTGGGGAGAAAAAAGTCAGCAGTGGTTTGGTGAGCCATTATTTATCAGGAGAAATTGTCAAAAATAGACCTAGCAGCAAACAAAACTAAATTAAATGTTTCCATAAAATAGCAGATTATGCAACTGAAACCTTTTCACAGTTAATTTGAGGGAGAAGTTCCCAAACTAAAACTATGGTTGGATCTAATGGCTTTCACGCTTGACACACTCCAGCAGCAGTATGTGTATGCCTTTGGTTTATATGAAAACAGACTGATGTGTAACAGGGTGTCAGTGTAGATAAGCAAAGTACTTATTGATGCCAAAAACGATCTGATAACTGACATGAGTTGGTCTTCAACCTCTTTAGCATAATTTAATGTTTGTAATTACATGTCTAGTTACTGTCGCAGACTATTAGTATTAGCCGTGAAACACTGTTAGCACAGTTAATTATGTTTAGTAAGACAGTAAACACAGGGTTCTCAAGTTTGAGCAAAAGCTTGGAGTGAGATCACACGCGGTTAGGGGAGGAGCCATAATGAAGCCCCGCCCCACCCATCCCCGCCCCCAATTTTACCCATTGTTCATAATTAACCAAAACAAATTAAAATTATAACAATTAGTAAATCTGATAAATGACAGAGCAAGTCATCACATCAAATACTCTTTAATGCAGTATTACAAATATAGCTAACCAAAAATATAACAAATTGCTCCAAACAGTTTCAAACAAATCTTTAAAAATTGCATTTTGATTTTTGAATGCGTCTTCTAGACGAATGATTTGTGGTGGGACATTGAGAAGAAATGGACAGATTAGAGTGCACCACCTCTTCCACTGTGTCCTCCTCTAATCTGGCAACCTTTTTAGGGGGCTTACCCTTTGGTGCCTAAAATGACAAAATATCTTTCTGCTTTTTTCCTGACATCTTTGAAAAATACAAATGCAACATTATGACAATGATTAAATATTACCCAGAGCAATCTGTAATACATCCTTAATGTAACTAGAAAGACTATTAATATTACAGTATAATATAATTTAAAATAAAATCAATAAATCTTCATTCCTTTCCATACCCACTAACATTTCTCTTAGTTTCAGATAACGTAAGATAGCCAAACTGAGCCTGGTTGCAAAGTAGTTGTAGAGTTTTTGACTGCATCAATAATAATGTGATGGGCTACATATTAAATGTTCTAGCCCAAAAATGTTAGACGAGCTTCTTCCAACTTACCTTCTTCTCCATCACGACACATGTGTTCGCGCGATGTTGATGGTTACCTAGGATACCGAGGATGTTCCGTCCATTTCCGTGTGTTCGCGCTACTGAATGACATGTCATGTATAGATCAGTGGTGCACGCAGCGCGCATATATGTTGCCTAGTAACGAACGCAATCTGGCGGAGATACGCGCTGGCGGCAGGAAACTTCACTTTGTTTGCCTGCGCCTCGTATACAACGTTAGGCCCGGTTCACATATCGCGTCTTTTGCGTGCTCAAGTTCGTTTTTTCAAATGTAGGCGCGCGGTATGCGCGCTCATAATGGAAGCGACGCGGTCGCGGTGCGACGCGCTCGTTTTTTCCAGGCGCGTCCGCGCCGCATCGAGATAAAAACATCTCAACTTTTCAGAATGCCGCAAGCGCACCGTAGGTCACGTGACACGAACCAACCAATCAGCTTCCTCGCCATTTTTGTTACCTCTTCTTAAAATATAATCAAACTGGTCCTTGTCCACTCTGAAATAGGCTTTGAACCTCCCATTGTCCAGGCGGAGTTCCTGAATCATCTGGTGAAATTCCCCATGGTTCTTGCGTTTTTGTAGTAGCCTATGGGGTGCACCCAAACACTGCGGCGTTTTTTTTTTTATTTTCTGAGTAAATAAATCTTGTAACAGAGTTACAGCAAGGGTTTTTCGGTGGTGGAAATCCATTGCTGAAATTTCCTTCATGTAATGGAGAGCGCAGCTGGTGGTTGCTTAGCAACGACAGACGCCTCCGGAGTGCAACCGCCCTAGCGCTTCTTTGGAAAAAGGAGAACGCGTGCGCCTAGCGTTTTCTACGCGTTTTTAGGCGCGATATGTGAACGGCCCCTTAGAAAGCTTTCAGCCAGGACAACTTGGTTGGCATTGCCTTTTCAGCGTGAGAAATACACAGTGTGCCGTGTGAGCGTGTGAACCGGTCGAAATGAGTGTGTCTCACGGCCAATGCGTGAGACTTGAGAACCCTGGTAAACAGCAGCTGGTTCAAGATAATTACTATCAGGAGCGAAAATGTAGTCTTACAGGAGAATGTTACACTAAAAAAAAAAACTTCACCCATGTGCTTTGTTTCATTTAGTATTGGAGAAATAAAGGTTTAACAGTACTTGCTGATGTTTTCTGGTGTTTATTTGACTGGGCTGTTTCCCAATGCAGCGTCAGACAGAAGATGGTGCCATTCAGAAGTCGCCCCCTAGTGGTCTGACTGCTCAAACTGCACCAGGTGATGCCATTGAGAGTTTTCCGATATTCCCTGACCTTCAGTTATAGCCAATACCAGTATTGAACAAAGGTGTAACCTTAAAGCTGGAATGAGCGGTTTGTCCATTAGCCATTCACATATCCATCGGTCCCCATTCATCAAACAGTTCTTTGTGTTAGCAAGTCATTCAGCTGAAGGTCCTTCTGTAATGCACTTATTATCAGTGGCTTTCTGAATGCCTGAATTGGATTACCCAACAACAAATTCTATTGTGAAAAATCATTCATATCTGTCTTTAGAATATTCCTCTTCTCCTCTCTTATTATAAAGCAGAGCGATTGATCTTCTTTTTACATTCCCCTTCTTTCACTATTCATTTTGTTCTCTCTATGATTCACTCGTTTCTTGTTTTCACGTTCTCTCTTCATATTGTCTTTCGCTCACAGACAGGAGTTATGGTGGAGCTCACAGGCAGAAGAAGGCTCGTCTGGCTGAGGATCTGAGTGTGAAAATTCAGAGTCGGGCTGGACCACTTGAACTCCTGCAGAGGCATATTCTGCCTCTAGAGAACAGTGAGTCATTGAAAATAACTGAAACTGATGCCTCGCAAAATAGCATAAACTCAAACTAAATATTTTATAGAGTCATAGACTACGCTCACACACAAACAAACAAACACTCTCTTATATAATACTAACATGTAATTGGGGTAATTTTTCTCACAGTTTTTTGTCAAATGATTTTATTGTGACTAATGAGAGTAAGCTTTACCCAGATAGCAAGTCTATTTGATGTGATTTTTACATCTGGAATATGTATTTTTAAGAGTGTTTGCTCATCTGCAATACGTCTTGACGTTTCCTGTCAGATGTCAAATAAACGTTAGAAGATGTCTTTAAGGTGTAATGATTTAGAATGCATGTTAAACTGACATCTTCTAAACGTCTATTTGACATCTGACAGGAAACGTCCTATATTGCAGATGAGCAAACACTTAAAAATACGTGTTCCAGATGTAAATATCACATCAAATACACTTGTGCTATCTGGGTAATAAATAATTACACAGTTATTAGCATCAGCTATTTGTGTTGATGACACTCATAGCATACGTACAGTAAAAACACCAGTCAGATGTTGAACTTAGTACAAAAGTGACAAGATAAAAAACATTAAGGGGGACATTTTAGAGTACAGGCTAAGCAAGAACGTTAATCGGTTAGCGATATGCTAAGCTTGTATGCTAAGTGGTTAGCTTGTATTGCAATATATAGCTTCAGGTTATGTATTATTATACATAACATTAGTGATAATAATTTTAATGGGCATAATAATAGTTCATATGGCATACACATCATAAAATACCATAAAGTCCCATACCGTAAAATACAAATTAAAAGTTTTTTTTCAGCCGATGGAATTCGCTCCTTGGCAGACTTGATACAGCGGGGAGACCAAGTTGTTGCCTTGGCTTTTGGCTTGCTTAGTTAGGGACATTTAATATTCAACAATATTATTGATCTGCCTTACTTCAGGTGGACGATGACGTAATTTTCTTCTAGAAACAAACTTGTATTATTTTCATGTTATCTATATATTTTGTGTTATCATCATGAAGCTGCTTTAATACAATTTGTATTGTAAAAAGTGCCATAGAAATAAAGGTGACTTGTCTTGACTTGATTGATCAAATCAGTTGACTTAGAGACTTCCAATCTTTTATTTTTTTATTTTAGAGTACAAATCACATAAAACAGTGAACAGCATTAAAACATTTTTTTTTTATGAAATGTAATTTGTATTGCTATTGTAAGGCTTACTAAATCTATCCAAATGGCGGTATTTGATTAGAGGTGAAGGTCTCACGTGTGTTTCGTCTTTCCCATGGCAAAAGGATTTTTAATTAAATGCAATACATTTTATCTTATGTATTAACTCGTTTCACCTGACTCCATAAAATGAAAAAGGTTTTCAATGATATCTGTTCATCATTTAATACGCTAATGTTTGACTATTCCTTTTAACATAATGAAAATATAGTCAAAGGCTGTTAGAATAATCAAATATAACAATTTATTATGTCAGGTAAATTTATTATTACAATTCCATAATCAATTTAAAGATAATCAATGCAAACCATTAAATGTTTCTAGAACAAAGAACTTTACCCAACATATTGACTACATGAATGCTGAGCCTTGATGGGCTGATCTGATACAGAAAAAGCAGCCTTGATCTCTCGCTGCATTTTCTTTATATAGCCAGACCGCATTTCATATGTAAACCTGAGCTTCCAGTGGAAACTTACTGTGGTCCCCCTCCCCAGACTTATTGGGGGTAGCAGTTTGACCATTTGCAAGGGACAGTGGAAATTAGCATTCAGACAAAAGCTCAGAAGGTGTTGACTCGAAAACACACCCTTCTGTGTGCAAGATATTTCTATATTCTTGAGAACTTTATTAAAAAATTTTTTTTTAACTTTATTAAAAAACTTTTGATTTTCTTCTTTGGGAATGAGACATTTTTACCAGTCACCCTGAGACCTTTAAATTGATACTAAACAATCCTTAAAGATTACCACATTAACATTAAAACCATATATCTTTTTGTGTTAGTTTTAAGAAGTGTGAGAGAGAGAGAGAGAGAGAGAGAGAGAGAGAGAGAGAGAGAGAGAGAGAGAGAATGTAGATGAGGTGAGTTTTACACTATTACAGGTGAAGTTTCAATTATTTCAGTTATATTTATACGTTTATAGTGTACCTTGTGTATTATTAATGACAATTACATTTGTGGGAGCCAATAGCCGGCAGTGCTTCGACACACGGCTTTGTTGCGCTTCGGGTGACCCAAGTTCAAGTCCTGACTTGTGGAACTCTCCAATCCCATTCCCTCTCCCTCTTCCTGCCAATTCTCCGTCTATCCTGTCTAAATAAAGAAAATGATAAAAATGGTGTAAACAAAACTAGCAATACCATCTTTTAGTTTCACATTCCCACATGACATTTAACTTATACCCAGAATTGTTGCAGAAAAGCTTCACATATCACCATTTCCTCTGCCTCAGCTGCTTCTTTGCCATCAAATGTATTTGAAGATGACAACTCCTCTTCTGCCTCTGCATCTCCCGAGCAACTCGGGATGCACCAATCTCCTGGCTTCTCATCATCACCTGGGCAAGGATGTGACCAATCACCAAGTGATGCGTCACCTATTGCTACGCCGATCAGCCCAAACAATGTACAGGTATAAGAGGTCTAAAACGCCTACCAATATTAGACGTTTTGCGTTGTATCCTTGTCTTTGGTTTAAAGATGAAGTGTGTAATTTGTGAGAACTGTGGAGCTATCAAAGTATTTCTCTGTTTATTTGAGCATCCCGACCCCCCAAACATTGCAACAGTCTGTGAACCAATGTGGATATATTGGTTGCTATCTGTTTGTGGTGTTTGATGGAAAATCACATATTCTGTGTTTCGTGCGGGATGTGTTTCTGTGTTTCGATTGGTGCAGAAATTACGTAAATGGCTGGAAGGTAGTTGCTCAGATTTTCACCACTATCAATTCTTCTCAAAACAGTGCAGATTGGCATTGCTCCCGGCAACCGAGTGCATCAGCCAACCAATGACCATGACAGTAACGGGGTCAAACTCCATGTCAACAACTGGCAGACCGAAAGGGATGTACATGCCCTCCCAGACACCACCACTGCTGCCAAAGGTACGCATTCACACATAGATTTGAAATAATGATTTGTTATACTCCTCACCCCATTTCACCATTCATTATTTCCCCCATCCATTTGCTCATGTCATTTTTCCAAATTATCGTACTCGCATTTTTTCTCTGTATGCCTCAAGACAGCACAAACTCCAGCTCCATATTCTCATTCCATTCTGGGTGGGTCCTTAACTTCATCCCGCCCTCCTCGGCCACGAAAACCTCGCGATTCCAAACCTAAAATGAGGAAGCTGAAATACCATCAGTACATTCCCCCAGATCAAAGGACTGGGACTGGAAACGGAGCCGGAAATGCTTCACAAAAGAATAACAACAGTCAGGCTCCGGCCACTGATTCCTCTCACTCCCACCTCTTGCAACAACAGCAAGTGTACTTAAAACTACAAATTCTTAACCAGCAACAACAGCTCACTGTGACAAACAGGTAAACTTTCAAATAAATCTCCCTTTAAAAACGCTATGATTTGTACAACTAAAGCCGGGAGCACGCTGCACGATTTTTACAGTCATCTTGAGTAAAAGCCACGGCACACTGGGCAAGAGAATTTTTTTTTAAGTTACACTGTACAATCAAAGCAGTCACTGACCAAATTGGGTGGGTGGAGTGGGGGTTTGAAATCCTCAGACTAGATGGCTATAACCATCCTACACAATGTGAAATCTGTTAACTCCAAGCTCCCAAAATGTGTACACTGGCTCTGACTCAAGGCAACTAGCATCAACTTACCCTAAATGCAAATTAGGGCAAAAGTTTGGATTCAAGTTGTGTAGTGTAAGCCAGCACTATGTGATGTAAGACTCCTGATTTTTACCTTACAAGGAGAAATCGTTTGTGATCCCTATAATTTGTCTCAGAGAACAAAATTATAGCTAGTGTAAAAATCGTACAGTTTAAGAGATTCTACTCTTTGATCTTAATAGTAATCAGAAAACAATAACTTATATACCTATACTATACATCTAAATAATAGTGAGAACCATTCGAAGATTCCTGGAACTACACCTCAAAGTCCCCCTCAGTCTGGAACCCCTTCAACAAACCCCTCTACTCCTGATACAAGTCCCATCCACCAGGCAGAGTTCCTCCCCTCAAACCTTGATGACCTAACGGTAGGAATATCATTGGTTAAGATTACTCACTCTAGATCCAAGTGAGCAGATGTCCAATCCTGCTCTTGGAGGACTACTTCCTGCAGACTTCAGTTCCAATCCTTCTCCAACACACCTAATTATTAATCTCAAGTAATCATGAGCACCTTGATTACCTGGTTCTTGTGGGGTTTATTATGGTTGTAGGTAAACTCTGCAGGACAGTGGCCCTCCAGACGTAGGTTTGGACACCCTTATATTATACTCCTTATATACCTTATATTATGTTATACTCTATATTATCTGGTCCTCGTAAACTGTTTGTTTGAACAAGTTGTGTATAGAACATTGACTGTATTCCTTCTTCTCAGGTGTCAGTTCTTCGTCAGCAGTTGCGGAAACGTGGACTCCCAGTTTCCGGCACTAAGCCGGCACTACTAGAAAGACTCCGTCCTTTCCAGATGCCGCGTCCCCTGTTAACCCCTGCCCCACTTTGCCAGCTAGGGGCCACACTAGAACCATCCCACCCTGCTGCACTCAACCAAATCCCTTCCAGTGTAAACACCTCCGCCAAGTCTGTTCCAATGTACATCCACCCTTCGGGTTTATCGGAGCAAAGCATAGCTGGTGATACTTACCTCACTTCTCCTTCTTCTGCTGGCTCCAGTCCAACCTTACATACGTCCTCTTCTCCAATTCCCTCTGGCGCCACATGGAGGCCAGGCCAGCCAGTAGATGAACTTAGTGTGGAGCTGGAAATGAGAGAGAGGTTGAGGAGCAGACCCAGAGAAGTAGCGAAAGACTCTCAAGTGAGTATGGATGATTGATATAGGTGGATTTCTTGGACATTGGTGGCATTTCCTAATTTCCGATTTTTTAATATTTTTATTTTTATTTTGGTGAATCTATTTCAGTCATAAGTACTTTAAGAATTCAATGTACTATTTCATCCCTTCTTTTTTGTGTTTTTTTTCCAGCTGTGTGGAAGTTCCCTTCATTCGTTCCTGCAACAGGAGCCAGGATGCACCAGAGGGAAACCAGACACAGGCGGACAGGAACTGCTCTTTACGTACTGCACTGGTGAAGGAAAAGTACGTACTCTGAATATTTAGTAAGACAAGCAGTGACACACTAAGAAAGTTCTGTGACATACTGCCGCACCATTAAAGGTTAGTTCACCCAAAATTTTAATTCTGTCAATAATTGCTCACCCTCATGTCGATCTAAACCCATTCAACTTTGGAACACAAATTAAGATATTTTGGTAACACTTTACAATACGGGTGCACTAATATGCATTAATTCATGCTTAACTAATGCACAGATAATCATGAGTTAATGTATAACTCAAGAAGAACTAAACCATTAATTAATGATTACTGCATCAGCAACTAATAAAGAGTCTATATGATTAATAGATTAGTAATACACAAATTTCTATTAATTCAACGTGCCATTGTGTATTAATTCCTTAATACATATTTTATTAACTAATAGTGTAAATTAATGTGTTAATTACCACAATTAGTCAAAGCTATGCACTTCAACTTCCAGTTGTCTGCTTTAATTAATCATTAGCTAACGATTTGCAAAGGTATCATTATGTTATGACTTTACTTGTTGGGGCACATCATTATTAACTAGTCATTAGTAATTGTAGTAATTCGCACATGAATTTTGCAGTAACAATGAAGTAGTTAATCATGTATTAATGCATATTAGTGTACCTGTCATATTATCTGGAAGTTGAAATACAAGGCTTTGGCTCATTCTGGTAATTAACATATTAATTGACAACATTAGTTAAAAAAATGAGTTATTATGGAATTAATCCACAATTACATATTTAATTAATAATAATTAATGTATGAACTAATACATTAACCTTACAGACTCTTAATTAGTTGCTAATGTGGTAGTCATTAATGAATAGCTTAAAACCACTCAATGTGAATTCAGTGGTTTAGTCCAAATTTTATGAAGAGACACTTTATACGCTGAACAGATTGAATTTAGGCTTTTATGACATGTAAACATTCATCAACGCACACATCAATTAAAATAAATGGAAGCTCGCATCCTTGCTTGACGTGTGCAAACCAATGTTACGCAGCACTTTTGATCTAAAAATATGAGCTATTAAAATATCTTAATTTGCGTTCCAAAGATGAACGAAAGTTTAATGGGTTTGGAGCGACATTAGGGTGAGTAAATGATGACAGAATTTAAATTTTTCCATGAACTATCCGTTTAAGTTGCATCTTGATGTATTGAGGTGTTTCGTAGTTTAAATAAATGTGAGGAATATTACCCCCCAAAAAACATGCACAAATACATATTTCAGTATTGAACTAATTTACAATCTTTGAATTTATTCCTAATATTAGGCAAACTGTTGTCAGCTTTGTGATGTAATTGGTCAAGACTTTGATTTGCCTATGCAAATCACTGCCAGTCCAGCACAGGCATCGCCCCTGTCCGGAGTTTGGAAGAGGAACTACAGGAGGCTATTCAAAGAGTGCAAGTGAGTTTGTGTGCTGTCCGCTCTCTCACACTTACCTATATTATGCAACTATTGATGTCTTGATTGCTGTTCATCAACAATGAGCACTAAGCATTCAACTTCCTGTCCACTCTTTCTCTCTCCATTTAAGATGGACCCTACTCAGTCCATCGATGACATATTGGACGAGACTATTGGTTGTTCAGGTGAGTAAATTTTAATCAGTGATGGTTGAAACATTTCAGGTTAGAGGAAGCAAAGATCAATGGCAAAAAACAAAAACAAAAAAAAACCTATACATTTTTAAGATTACATTTTAGGTTGGCCGGACATACTGACATGCTTGTGTAACGCCTTATCTTTCAGATAACTCCTCACTCATCACAGACGTCCAATCAGCCACCACCATCCTCTCAGGTTCCTCCCCCACGCCGCAGCCTGACCAATCACAGTTCACCAAGCGCCAAAAAGAAGACAACTTTCTTTCCTCTCCTCTGTGCTCTTCGCTTCTTTTAGAGCTTCCTCCCTCACCTAACAACGCCCCACCCCTCGGTTCAACCCCAACTCTACTTCCTCCTCCCCCCATCTGCACCACTCCACCATCCAGCTCACTGTCCAGGGAAAGAAGGTCAGAGGTTCTTGTTTTTGACCCTGCTGATTGGCTGGAGACCTTGACCTCTGGCCTGCACCCGCTAACACCCCCCACCGCCCCATTTTTAGAGAATGACTTTGGCCTTGACGCAGACCTGAACGTCAACAGGGTCCTCGACCTGATGGTGGAGCAATGGTGAGGAAGGGGCGTAGTGTGTGTCTGCATGTGTGTGTGGCTAATTGGATGCATTGGAAATTAACCACCCTTCAAATCGTGTCCCCTCGAGAGGCGACCCCTCATCCTCTCATTCGTTCCTTCGTTTTTGCATCCATCCATCTCTGTCAACTGATGAGACCAAACAGGTCTGACTGGTGTTGACTGCTAACCTCTACTCCACGCAATGTCGAGAGAAAGAGGGAAATTGAAAAGAGATATGCTTTGGTAACTTGTTCAGAAAGAGCCACATGTGCACATACGCCACACTTTCACAATGACTTGTATTTTTATAAAAGCTTTAAAAATCGAAAAGAATAAAATAATAAAAAAAGCGGGTTTCCCGTTGATTTGCCTCTTGCTTCAGCGCCAGACAAACTGTCGGCATGTGGCAACTGTGTGGAGCAGCGGGAGCTTCAAACAATCTGTGTGTATTTACAGGGAAGTGTATGCGCTCCCTGTATGTGTGAGCACGCTTCTCTTGGCTGATTTATCTGTGTGTGTTTGTGTTGGCGCATACACACATGCCAGCATGTTCTGTATCTACAATTTCAATGTGACATAAATGAGGTGTCTAAAGCATCCAAATGCACTTGTTTCTATTTATACTGGTGTACATCATGATCTCCTTTGTCTGAACTAGCGCATCATAGCACTGATGTTAACCCAAAAGCATTGGCTTAACGTATCCTTTTTAAATTTTAGGACAGAATTAATAAAGCTACCTTTAGGCACCAATACAGTGCACAATAATGCACTCTGAGGCCAATATGCACCTTCCAGCAAGATTGAAACCACTAAATAGGTTAGGAACTAATGAGAAAATGTGGAA